TTACAACAACACCTACCAGCTGCCAGTCATGCCAAAACCAACTTGGTGGTATGTATGTATGGTAGAGCTTAAAGCAGCCTCCCTTCAGCGTTGCTCTAGCACACACTGAGCAATGGTACACCTCACACCTCACCAGCACTTCACACAGTACACAAATACCTTATTGCAACTGCTGCGGGAACAGGAGTTCACAGCACCACCAGGGGAAGAACGGAGGAAGAGGAGCACAGATGAAGAGAAGGGAGAGGAAAGAGTAAGGAAGTTTATTTAGGTACATGTACAAATAGTTACACCAATTATTATACATAGTAACATATGTGTAAATTACCTATGGTAACCCCAAAAAAGAAAGACAAGGGGAGGTAAACAGTGGAAGAGAAAGACAGAAGCAAGAAAAGAACAGAGAAAGAGGAGCAGGAAGAGAATGAGGATACGGGGTGTGAAGCAACAGGCTGGGAGGGGGTGGGTGGGTTCGTCAATACAGCAGGCTCGTAGGGTCCAGCGGGGTTTTCCATCCACGGTGATTCAGCCTTGTGGGCGCCACTTATCAAAAACACCAAACTCAACTCACATTTTTCATCTCAACCAGGGTACCATTCCACACACATGCACACGTACACACATTAACACGTACACGCACACAAGCAGAGATATCAAATAACCTCTCTTCACCTTCAAGGTGGTCAGAACTGGAACAATCAGGATGACACACCCACCAGGCTATAAGTGATGGAACCCCTGTCTTAGCCAGCTACAGTGGCGGAAACGGGAGCTGAGACCCAACCCCTGCAACCACAAATATCCACGCACAAACAGGTAAGCACACACTCAAGAAGGTATTTAAATATACCCACGTATACATACAGCAGTCCGCGCCTAGTCAAGCATACACAGAGGAACTTGAGAAGGTTCCTTGGTTAACAACCACACTAGTTCCGGAACTGAGGTGGATGCACCACGAACACGACCTTGAACCAGAAAACAACCCTAGCTGATCACGCCAACATACATACATACATACATACATATATATATATATATATATATATATATATATATATATATATATATATATATATATATATATATATATATATATATATATATATATATATATATATATATATATATATACACACACACACACACACACACACACACCATAATCTATCTTCAGGTTGCACTTTTAACATACGAAAATAACCTTATCGGGTATTTATGAATCTGTGTCTGATAAGATAAACTTTATGTTAAATATACAGGTGTGTGTATGACAATCGACCGGCTTAGCGAGGTCCCCCTTTTACCAAGCCTCACCTAGTGTACATTCTTAAGCCACGGAATTACCAAAACAGTTTCAGTAGTATGTATGATCGTTTCTAGTAGATAAGAGGTAAGTTGGAAGATGATTAGATCTGTGGAGACACCCAGACGAATATACACGTCAACAACAACACGCCAGTGGCAGACCTCCTGCATATATTATAGACTTATATCGTCTGTATGACTTGATGAATATCTAAACAGAGAGAAACGTTGTCCCAATAAAAGCTTGTTGTGTAAATGCGTTTTTCCCTAAGTCTCGGCAGTACTTCATTTGGATCAATCAATGGCTGTTTGCACGCGCCTATTTGTGCCTGATGGGGCTAAGCTACAGCTCTCAGATCCTGCTTCATAACTTTCAATCTGAGTAAATAATTTCTCACCCCCTGAATTCTATCATATCTATTACCGAATCTATTTTGAGTCTTCCTTCACTACACCTTTCTTAAGTAGCTCTCCTGCCTCACAAACTTGCCGAGAAGTTGCCCCTTAAAAAGCTTTCTTGTTCTAAGTTTTCTGTGACCATCTGAGGTATGGAAGAAAACGGAAATCAAGCCCCCATCGCGTAGAATAACAACCATTACAGCTTGAAACTTGATTTAAGATAAGAGATAAGATTTCGTTCGGATTTTTAACCCCGGAGGGTTAGCCACCCAGGATAACCCAAGAAAGTCAGTGCGTCATTGAGGACTGTCTAACTTATTTCCATTGGGGTCCTTAATCTTGTCCCCCAGGATGCGACCCACACCAGTCGACTAACACCCAGGTACCTATTTGCTGCTAGGTGAACAGGACAACAGGTGTAATGAAACGTGTCGAATGTTTCCACCCGCCGGGAATCGAACCCGGGCCCTCCGTGTGTGAAGCGGGAGCTTTAGCCACCAGGCCACACTACCAGAATTACCTCTACCACTACGTCTCCACCTGTTTCCTCTTTCTGTCCCCTCCCTCTCTCCCCTCTCCTATATAAACCATCACCCTCCCTCTCTCCCCTCTCCTATATAAACCATCACCCTCCTCTCCTCCCCTCTCCTATATAAACCATCACCCCTCCTCCTCCCCTCTCCTATATAAAACCATCTCCCTCCCTCTCTCCCCTCTCCTATATAAACCATCACCCTCCCTCTCTCCCCTCTCCTATATAAACCATCACCCTCCCTCTCTCCCCTCTCCTATATAAACCATCACCCTCCCTCTCTCCCCTCTCCTATATAAACCATCACCCTCCCTCTCTCCCCTCTCCTATATAAACCATTACACTTTAATACGTCTTATTTATTTTGAAAAGCCTACAAATGACTTTTCAAGGTTCTCTACACATATGCTATGATAATCTATATAATTATATTTGTGTATATCCGAATAAACTTACTTAATCATTATTATTTTATTACTGGGGAGCGCTAAACCAAAAGAGGTCATACAGATTTGTTTCCGGGGGTCACCACCTCCGCGGCCCGGTAACAGATCAGGCCTCCAGCCTGGGGTAATTGAAGGCACTCAAGCTCGATTCAAGGAATTAGGGAAGACGGTTAATTCCTTAGATCAAGAGTCCCTCAATAGTATCGATTTTTTATTTTTGCAAACAATGGCTCTGAGGGCACACATGTTACGGACATTCATTAATATTACCTGAAGAGTAGAATAACCCAATAATGTAAATACGATTTATTTACTCTCTTAAAATATTCTGGTGTAATTCGATCGCCCTTCCACAAGCCTACTGCTTATAAATTTGAATTTAATATTAAAGACTGGCCATTAATAAAAAAAAAGGACCAGAGAACACCTTATACAAACAGGGAGTAAAGATGACTGACTCGGAACATACGGTCAATAACACCACTTGTATTACTACCTGTTGCAGCAGAAATCGCTATTCGTCAGACAAGGCGACATTTTTACAGTCTTTAAATGTCCAGTTGTGGTGAGTCTGTGCCTACTGTAACCTCAGTTTCCTGTTCTTGGATGAGAGGTATGGAACCCGGTGTGGTCTTATGCCTTCCCAATCCACTTCAAGGTTCGACGTGTTGTGCATTCAGAGATGCTTTTTTTTGCATACCACTGCTGTAACACGTGGTTGTCTGAGTTACTGTCACCTTTCTGTCAGCTTTAACCAGTCTGGTCATTCTCGTCTGACCTCTCTCTCTTTCGCGCACAGAACTGCCATTCACTGCATGTATTGTTTTTTCACACCATTCTCTGTAAACTCTAGTGTGAAACTCACGAGAGAATCAGCCGCTTCCGAGATGCTCAAACCACCCTTCCTGGCACCAACAATCATTCTACGGTCAAAGTTATTTACACCACATTTCTTCCCAATTTTGATGTTCGATCTGAACAACTGAACCTTCTGACCATCTCTGCATGCTTTTAGGCACTGAGGTGCTTCCACGTTGTTGGGAAGGGTCCTTAAGTGGAGTACAGGTAGTAAATGATAATCACTGAGAGGGTAAACTGGTATATTGAGAATAGGTAGTAGGAAACCCAGCCTGCAGTCTTGTCTTGCCTGTCTGAGGGTACGTGTCTGACTACCCCCTCACTCTGCTGACTTGACAGTATTTGAACCCCGTGACATCACGGCTAACGTATGTTGAATTATGCTGGACAACGTGATCAGGTATTTGCTTTAACGAACAGGTGTACAGGGGTGTACCTAATAAAGTGGCCAATGAGTGTATGGTCACTGTGACTGGTTCGTCGCAGTGTCCAACAACCTTTTTTTTATTTTATCTTAAGTTGAAAGGCTATTTCCTCGTTCGTTGAAACTTTAGATCTGTGTAGCCCAAACGGGTTTAGCGTTTTTTTCCTGAATACGAAAAACATGCCACTGTCCCTCGATGTCCTTATGAGCCAAGTATATTAGCCACAAACACCGAGATGCATGACTCCACCCTTCTTGTAGGTCGCTCAGATATAAAATAATGTACGTCCTAGTCCAGACCCCTGTGGGACCCCTCTTGTTACTGGACCCATCGCATCATTTTATCCCTCACAGTGTTTCACGCATTCCTTTACCGGTGAGAATACTTACCATGTTACCCTTGCTTGTATACCCATACTGTTCGTATGAACTTACCTGCGGCAGTATACTATCTTAGACCAACACGAACAACATGACGGATCACTTAATCGTTTGCGTCCCACATAAAACAAAATTAAGTAATGCGTATTTTGGTATATATAATTTTTATTTTGCATCAAAACTGTGGTAAAAATTATGTAATATAAATAATCCTTCCCAGAATTTCCATAAGTAATTTAAGAGAATGACTTGGGGAGAGGGAACATCTGAGCATCTTTTATATTATTATTATTATTATTATTATTATTATATTTTTTTTTGGGGAAACACTGAACCTGTAAGGGTCATACAGCCCTTGGGGAATGGGAGGTAATTATAGCTGATCCACAGAACTCCAATTCGTTGTATTAAAAAGCCTTTATCAGTATGAAGGCAACCCTAGTGAAGGGAACACCTTGAGATGACCCAACATATGAGAAGTGTGATGAATAAGACACTAGTGCTACATTTAGCCATCTTTATTCTTTAAATGTTTTGCCCCTGGCTGGCAAAACTTTTCCAGAATAAAGATACCCAAATGTTGCACAAGTCTCTCATTTATCAACTTGTCAGTTTTCTAATCCATTTATTCAAATAAGAGAGGTGTACTCACATGACCATAGCAGAGTTGCGCATGATCCGGCCACACGGGCCGAACTGCTGGATGGGTGAGGGAGCATTCAACGAGCGGGTCCTCCTGAAACACAATATATTAACTTGATACCATGCTTCATTTTCCACTTACTGAGGAATACAAAGATAAACAACACAATAACCTATGTGATAAGTCAAGGTATCTTAAAATGAAAATAAGATATCCTAAATTTGTTTGCAACACCTAATTCCTAGACCTTTTGTGTATTTATGTCCTTCCGCTACCGTCCAAAGGATGGATATGGGACACACATAGTAGCCGCTTCGGTGGCAAAGATAAAACAAAATAAACTTACCATATCCTCGCACTAGAAGTTGAAATGCAGGGCCACGGGCCAATATTCAACACCATGACTCACAAATAGGTATACAGAATGTTGATATGGAGCTTCAGTGTCAGGTAATCTGTGCACTTGATATTTCAACGGAGACATTACACAAAGGTATATTCAAATGAAAAAAAAAATGAATTGGAGTTAAGAACAAGAAACTATGGGTCTGATTTAAAAAATGGGGGATATACCAAGAAATTATGGAGCTGAGGGAGGTAGTGAATGAATTGTTTGAGTATTTAACTCCAACACTGCCTGGTCACCAGTCAAATTACTCTGCTGGTGGGAAGCGAATGCCAGACTGAAGTTCCTGTATAGACAAGCACAGTGTCTACCTACTGAGGCTCGCAGGACCCTATGTCTAGCCCTTATACAATGCCATATGGATTACGCTTGCTCTTCATGGTACTCTGCCTTGACAAAAAAACTGAAAGATAGACTGCAAATCACCCAGAACAAAATCATAAGATTCTATCCTGGGGCTGGGACCAAGAGAACATGTAGGCCAGGATGAATTACAGCAGTTGGATATGCTGAATGTTGAAGACAGAGTAAAACAACTGAAGCTAAATCATGTTTATAAAATTGCTCACGAAAAGTGTCCAGAATATCTTGCTGTCAATTTTGTCAAGGTTGGGAACCAAGCAATCATAGTACTAGGGGGAGAGAGCACAACTTTGTAGTACCCACAGTCAGTGGCCAGGCTTCAAAACACCTTTTATTGTACAGCAATAAAGGAATGGAACAGACTACCCGCACATGTCAAAGCCAGTCATAGCATGAACCAGTTCAAGAAGACTGCCAAAAAGTGTCTGATGAATGAAGCTACAGAAAGGGAGGGGAATGATTTTCTATTTTTTAGCTAAAATACGTGTAAATTTTACCTTATTCCTAGTAATGACCCTCGTATTGTAGATAGTCTTAATGACCTTGGTGTAGTAGATAGTCTTTTTAGTATGATAATAAGATATCTTCATTGTAGAATAATAAGAAAATATTATAACCTTTATATTATAATAATCAGGTAAAAGGACCCCAATGGAAATAAGTCACTCTGTCTGACTTTTTTGGGTTATCCCAGGTTCTCTACACATATGCTGCTATGTATGATAATTCTATGTAACTGTGTGTATACCTGAATAAATTTACTTACTTACTTATAAGGATGCTAGTGTATGGTAGGAGGGAGGGGCATGGTAGGAAGGAGGGGGAAAGGGGTACAGGAAGTAACAGAGACGGGAAGGGGGGTAGCACTCTGGAAGGTGGGAACACGACCCTCAGAGGACCAGCGTGAAAGTGCCACCCTCGACTCTTCCTCACCTTCACATTCTGTGTGGTGGTGACTCTCACCACCACTGCACTGCCCAACACCATTCTATCACAATTATCCTAACCAAAACTTTTACCTTAACCACCAATAACATTACCACAATCAATAAAACTATAACCGCCACTAAAACTATAACCACCATCACTAAAACTACCATAATCACCAATAAAGTTATAACCACCACCACTAAAACTTAACCACCACCACTAAAACTATCACATCACTAAAACTACCACAATCACCTATAAAACGATAACCACCACCACCACTAAAACACCCCAAAACCCCCTGATGCAGAAAAACCTAGTGACTGAGAATTTTTTCATTATTTTTTTGTAAAAAGTTAACAGGTTAGAAGCGGTTTTTAGGCTTTTGAGACAGTTAGGCAGGTCTCTAGCGTTGTAGTTACCCACAGAGTCCCGCCCCCATCACTCCTTTCGAGAAAGATCCACGCGGATCATTGTGCGGACATTATTAATTTAGTGAAAAAAAAAAATAAAAAAAAATAATAATAATAATAAAAAACAACAAACCCGGGCTAAACCCCAAAATGGAATCCCACCTTACCAAGTAAAGAAAGAAAGATCTAAATTTGGGAAACCCGAATTGAAGCAAATGGAAACGAGGTGAGGACTTAGAAAATTTTTCCAAAAATACAGAAAACTGCAAGACCCGGAGGAAGTTGACCATGACATAAACAATACCAGGGTTAAAAAAGCAGGTATTTAACAAATTAGGGGGGAGAGGGTAAAAAAAATGTGTTCAAGCACAGATGGACCACAGGGACGTTAGGAAATATTTTTGAGCCCCAGGTGGGGGGGAGTGCATTTGATGGAGCCTGGAGGCCAAAATTTGGTTTAAAATTGGTAATAAAAATCAGAGGCGGGGTTTTGGAGCTAAAGTTCGACCGGGAAGCCAAGTAAGGTGCTGTAGTGGTGGACCCTTTGGGGTGAGTGGTGGTCCAAAATATACAAGTGTGACCTTTACACGTACAATTTATCTTATGAGTAAATACAACGTTGATGGAGGGGGGGAGGCAGTCCAAGGCAGGAGATGGTATTCTAGGGCAAGGGAGGAGGGTGGGACGGTAGGGGAAGGCAGGAGATGGTTTCGGTGGGCAAAAGGGAGGAGATGGTAGGGAGGGGAAGGCAGGAGATGGTAGGTAGGGCAAGGGAGGGATGTACGGTTTGGGCAAGGGGGAGAAAGGTACGGGAGGGCAGGCAGGAGAGGACGGGAGGGCAAGGAGGAGATGGTATAGGGCAAGGAGGAATGGTTTTTGGTAGGGCAAGGGGGAGATGGGTTTGGGGGCAAAGGGAGGGATGGTACGGTAGGGCAAAGGGAGGGTGGACGGTGGGCAAGGCAGGGGGATGGTACGGTAGGGCAAGGAGGGGGATGGTAGGTAGGGGAGGCAGGAGATGGTTTGGTAGGGCGGCAGGGATGGTACGGTAGGGCAAAGGGGGAGATGGTACGGGGGCAGGCAGGGAGCAAAAAGTAGGGCCAAATAAGTGCAGGGAAAGTAGCAACAAAACTCAACAGGATGTATGTTTTACCAGCAGGAAGTTTTAAAAAGTAGGCAAAAGATGGCGGAAACCCAAACCAGGGAAGGTTACCGTTTGTACAAAGTATGGTACACCCCCGAATGGGACACCCAACAGGATTTAGATCAAAAATTTGTAAATTTTTAGATGAAAGTGAAGTTTTTCGGGCCCCAAGGCCTAATGGAAAGGAAATTGGGAAAATTGGCCCCCAGGCAAAGGTTTTTTTATGGTCCAAAGGCCTTTTTATGGCAAGGGGGTTTATTTTGGCCCCAAATGTCGATGGGGAAGGTTTTTGGGCTTTTTAAATTAAATGGCCCAAATTGTGGCAGGCAGGGATTACTGGCAAAAGGGTAAAGGAGGTTTTTTACGGCCCAAATTGTGGCAGGCAAGGTTTTTTAGGCCCAAATTGTCCCAGGGGAAAGTGGGTTGGGGGGAAATTAGGGGGTTGGGGGGGCGGGGGTTTTTAGGGCCCAAATTGTTTTGGAGGGCAAAGGGGAATTTTCTGGGCCCAAAAAATTGTGCCTGATGGCAAGGGGTTTTTACTGGCCCAAAGTCCGAGGGGAAGGGGGTTTTATTAGGCCCAAATTGGCCGAGGGGAAGGATTACTGGCCCAAATTGTCCTGAAAAGGGAAGGGAAATTTCTGGGGCCCCCAAATTGTGCCTGCAGGGGAAGGGTTTTTTTACTTCCAAACGTGGATGGCCCAAGGGGTTTAAACTTTGGGTTCCAAAACTTGGCTGCAGGCAAGGTTTAAAATGGTCCCAAAAATTTTTCCTTAGGAAGGGGTTTTTATTTTTTTCCCCCCAAAAAAACTTTTGTGCCCGATGGCCAAAGGTTTTTACGGTCCCAAACTTGTGCCTGAGGCAAGGTTTATTACTGGTCCCAAACTTGGCCTGATGGGGAAGGTTTATTCTGGTTCCCAAAAATTGTGCCTGATGGCAAAGGTTTATTAGGTCCCCAAAAATTTTGCCTGTGGCAGGTTTATTACGGTCCCCAACTTTTGCCTGTTGGGAAGGTTTATTCGGTCCCCAAATTGGCCTGCATGGCAAAAGGGTTTTTACTGGTCCCAAAATTTTTGCCTGCATGGCAAGGTTTTTTACTGGTCCCAAAAATTTTGCCTGCATGGCAAGGGGTTTTTATGGTCCCCAAATGTGCCCCGATGGCAAGGTTTTTAAAAGGTCCCCCAAAATTGGCCCCGTATGGCAAGGGTTTTTTTAAAAGGTCCCAAACTTTTGCCCGCATGGCAGGTTTTTTATGGGAAAATGGTCCCCAAAACTGGCCCCTGCATGGCAAGGGGGTTTTTACTGGTCCCAAACTTGTGCCTCATGGGAAAGGTTTTTTTTTGGTCCCAAACTTTTGCCTGATGCAAGGTTTTTTATGGTCCCAAACTTGTGCCTGATGGAAGGTTTTTTTTTTTTTTTATTCTGGTCCCAAATTTTGCCTTATGCAAGGGGGTTTTTTACTGGGCCAAATTGGCTGCAGGGAAGGTTTATTATTTTTTTTTTTTATTTTCTGGTCCCAAATTGTGCCTATGGCAAGGTTTATTTCTGGTCCCAAAATTGTGCCCCATGGGAAGGGGTTTTTTTTTTTTTTTTTTTTATTTGGTCCAAACTTGGCCTTTATGGCAAAAGGTTTTTTTATGGTCCCAAAATTGGCCCGATGGCAAAGGTTTATTACTGGTCCCAAAATTGGCCCGATGGCAAGGTTTTTACTGGTCCCAAACTTGTGCCCGATGGCAGGGTTTTTTTTTATGGTCCCCAAACTTGTGGGCCTGCATGGAAGGTTATTACTGGTCCCCCAAAATTTTGCCTACATGGCAAGGTTTATTACTGGTCCCAAACTTGT